TGCAATGAGCCTGGAAAGTTCTCAGGCAGGAGCCTGGACTTCTCAAGTCTGCAAAAACAAAGCTGGCCTCAAGGTGATCTACAAGGATGAGATGGAAGCTGTAATGCAGTGTGATAAATAAGAAACTAACATGAAGTAGAAAATTACTGCAGTTCTTCTTTGAGAATTACCCCTAACACTGGGTACTTGGACTGAAGGTGCCCCAAGGGTGTTGGTCAGACCAGGGGATCAGCGTGGAGCTCTGTGCCAGGCGGGAGAAGGAGGTCTTGGCATCAAGAGGTTTAAGAAGTACCAACCCATGAGTGAGAAATCCATGCCTAAGCCTGGACGGTGCTCCTTACTTCAGCAAGAAGGTGTCCGCTGCCCAATTCAAAGGTACCTTCCCTCAGCTCTTGGAGGCTTTCTCTGAGGGGTGATGCTCTTTAATCCCTGGAGCAGAATCTCTGCGTAAGTGAGGCACCAGCTGGCTGTTTTTGAGAAGTGAAACACATACATGTTTTGCAGTCAGACTCTCCTTTTTCTGGCTTAAGTAACAAAAACACTTGTAGATGTGCTTCCAGTCTTCCAGCGTGCTGGGGTAAGGGTTTGAAAACTGCACAGTTCCTGTGCATGTGGCCTGCCCTGAGCAAGCAGCAGCATTTCATGAGGCCATCGTTCGCTACCATGGCTGATGCCTGTGGATAGATGATGGTGACATGAGCTTGTCCCACAGCCTCTTTTGTGACTGCCCTGACACCCAGCGCAGGGCAGGGAAGCCCTCTGCTCCCTCCCCTCTCAGCTCCCAGTGCCTGTGGCATGCTTCCCTGGAGGTCTTCCCATAAAACCTGCCCTACGGCGGTGCTTCAGACAAGAGGCATGTTTTCAAAACCTGCTGTTCTTGCATCGGGGGTGCAGTCGGTACCAAGTACCCAGACATAGGCTGATCCTGGTGGAGTTTTATTTTCCCCCCTCATCAGCTGGCTGTGGGAAGGGAGCCTGGAGCAACCGCTGACCAGTGGTGGTGCTGTGGTGAACCCAAGGAGGGCCGCTACGGTTTGCTCAGCCTGCCGTGGAGGGGCAGCCCTGCAGCAGGTTAATGGCTGCTGCCCCACATGTGCTGGGCTGGGGTGGGCCTGGCCTCCTCGGTGTCCCCAGAGAGGGGCAGGGGCAGGCCCGGGCAGCCCCCAACTGCCACCATGATGTCAGCAGGTCCCAGGGGTGCCACCATGTTCCCCAAGTGTGCTCCCGCAGCCTTTTCCGCTGCCCCAGGGATGCGCCCCTGGCCTCTACTCCTTTCTGCTTGCCATTAATGGTATTCTTGTCCTGAAGGAGTAGCTGTTGGCAAGCCGCCCCCAAGAAACACTTGCTGGTGGCCATAGCTGGGCAAAGCATCGGCTCTCCTGGGCCTGCACACAGCTATCCCCAAGCCGTCACGCCTCTGTGGGATGGGGGAAAAAATATTTGGTAAGAAAAAAGGCTTGCAGCATTAGCAGTTTATAGTTTATTGTGGCTGAGGTATTGTGATAAATAAAGGTGGGAGAACTGTGCAAGCGAACTGCCGGTCCCTCCCAAGGCCCTGGCTTAGGTGCAGCCCCTGCTCGCCAGCTGCACAGGGCGCAGTGAGGAGGTGAGACTTCACCTCACATCCTCCGGAGAGGCGGTCACCACCGAGGACGGTGGTCCCAGGGACAGGTCTCCACGAAACCAGCCTTTCCCCTTTGCAGCTGTGCGGTTGCCATGTGTGCTCACAGTCCCTGTGGGCCCAGGAGCGGGGCGGCTTGGCCCAGTGGCTGTGAGCGGTGCCGGGAGGTGTTGGGGCCATGGCTGCCCATATTTGATGAGGGTGAATGTAACATACTTTTCCTCTCCTGGGCCAGACCCTCCTACCTGTTTCCTCAATTCCCATTATTCCTGATGTGGTCTGTGTTTCTGATACCTCAGAAACTCTTGCTTTAGAGTAGCCTTATTCTTGGCAAAAATAGACCAGCTGCCCAGGGATGGGAAATGCACTAAACCTTGTAATTTAGTTACCTTGGTAACATCTGTAAGGGACTACTAGTGCTAAACCCCTACTTTTTTCTTGATCTCTTTTATGGCAATAAATATTTATATTTACTTAGCAAAAGTGTGATTTATAGCCATTGTAGCCGTTCTTCTGAACATTATCCTGACAGACAACAGTTCATGTTTCTAACAAGCAAGGTTAAATAACTGTAAAAGTAGATATTTGACTTTGTAGGAGAAACTGTGATTTACCATGAAGTAACTAAGCTTTTGCTAAGCAAAGCCAAAATCATGTAAATACTGTATTATTGTTTTAATATATTATAATGCTTGATCACATTTACTCAGTATAGGATTTTTTTCAATGGTTGTGGTGTAGAACAAATACAAAAAAATCTGTTTTGTTTTTCTTTCTTTTACATTGTAACATTCTCACGTGTAGGTTTTAGTTGTCAACCATTCATCATACAGGGGAAAAAAAAAATAAAAGCATTACTGCTTATGATTATAAGCCAAAGCAAGGCTGTTTTGGACTTTGTTGTTGCTGGGTCTGGCACTAGGCACAGCTGTCTTCCTACTCCATCATTCCCATTTAGCTGTCTGTGTTCTGGTAGTGTCTCCTCTGCACGGCGTGACGTGGGACACTGGGGTGCCGGGACACAGAAGTTCCCTATGGATCAGACTTGTGTGCTGCAGAATAGGCAGTGCCCCCAGCTTTTAGTTGGCTCTTTGCATCCTCTGGTTACTCACTTGTTTTTCTCTTTGCTTCCAACAGCAGGGAATTTTCTGAGCCCTTCAAAGGGATGAGCATACCTCATTCGATGACCAAATCAGTAATTGATTTAATTAGTTTGAAGCTAACTGTCACTTGTTAAACTGATAATCGAGAAGCCAATTATGTGTTAACAGTCCTAAATACGAATCAGTGGTAATGAAGGTGTTTCTCTCTTAAATAAAGAAATTTGGATTCCTTGCTGATAGCTCAGAGCTTTAAAATGAGTTGTAAATATCACTATTTTCTTTAAAAAAATAAAGGCCCTATATTAGAATGTCATTTTCTCATTCAAAATAATGAAATTGCATATTTATTTCTGAAACTGCATTTAGAATTTTAACCTTTTTAATGTGTTGTGCCCTGTAAGACATAAGTCTCAGGGCATGATAGCAAGTTTAAGGATAAATCTTGCTTATCTTATTCATTTATGTAGCTGAAATCCTCAAGTAGGTTTTTAAATCAGAACATTTCTGTTGCTCTGTTGCAAGCTGGGTTGGTGTACACATTTAAAAGTCTTATTCTAGGAATGTTATGTCTTTTATTGGATATACATTTGTATTTGCAAGAGGTAATGTAAAAGTTGTCCATATAAAAACATAGCTTTATTTTTCATTGCAGCCATTATTTATAAAGCATTTTCTAAAATCAAAAAATGTTCCTTAAATAAAAGCATTTAAATTATGATTTTTATTATGTATTTTCATGAAACTAGATTTTTTTTTACAGGTGTACGAAGCAAAGCAATTTAAAAAAATATGTTCAGAACGTGTGCCTGTCCTGTATACTTCATGACATAAAAGTGCTGGATGAGTACAGCAAGCAAGCCACTGATGTATGATGGCTTGTCTATGGCTCTCTAAATACTTAATTGAATTAGATCATTACCCATTTATATAATATTTTCTTCACTTTTAAAGTCTGATCTGAGGGCAGTGAATAGTTGGTTTTTACTGTATTGATGATGGAGAGTCAACAATTTGATTAATCGTGTCATTTCAAGCATGAGTATTTCTGAGCACATCCTTTAAAGAATGTATCCTCATGGGTTTTTTTTTAAATTCCATGTGTATATAGATATGTTTGTTTCTTTCCCTTGGAAGTTGTTTAGAAGGTCCCAAAAGCAGATGGTGTGTTAAGGTACTAATATATTAAGGCCCATCTCATTCCCTGTCTCCACTTCCAATCTGTACACATTTCTGGCTGCTAACCCCCCAGTTTTATTTCCAGTTTCACTGTCTGCAATAAGTATAGGCTTGCAGAGCCCTGGGCAGGTGTTTGCACCATTAGAAAAACCATGTAAGTTGCCAAAAATGAGGTGCTTTAGAGAACAAGAAGTAAGCAAATTAAGGGCCAAATTCTGCTGCCATTTAATGCAGTGAAGGATGAATTCTTTTACTAGAAAGCTTGTTGGCCAAAAGATTGTTTAGAGTAGTAGCACAGATGGCAAATTCCAGTGCTGACAAACACAGGCTACACAAACCCATAAGCATGTGAAGACACATGTTAATCATACATTTCAGCTGTAAAATCTTAGGGGTAACACCAACACATTCAGAGTTTCCAGATGTATCTTTCAGGTTGATAATTTAATCCTTTATTGAGCAGTATTTTCAAATATATTATGACACACAATGAATGAGAAAAGTGAATGAACACCAGTACAAAATGAAGAGATGCTCTTTGTTTCTGGAGTCAACTTTTCCAGTATAATCTCTACTGCCAGCAGTGAATACATCAGATGTGTTTGCATCGTATCTGTGCAAGAAAATGTTTATGGATATGACATATGCTGCTTTGCACCCTTAAAACCTGAGAACTAGATTCTCTCTCAGTATCATGTGCATCCCTGTTGATTTCAGAAATATCCAATACTGCAGTAATGAGCATGGTATAGGAATCTAAGTAGATCCATAAACATATGGACAGAGGAATTAAGGCAGACTTTGTCACTTTGTCCCTAAAAATCCTTTGTGATACTTATCTTTTGTGTACACAGTGACACTGAGGTCTCAGCCCAGATAATTTCCCTTAACTTAGTAATATTTTATGGATTTACATAAAGTTTTGAGTCGAAAACGTGGAGGAGTGTGTGTGCACATTTTGCAGAAATGTACTCGTGCTAGTAATATAAACAATTTTAATTCTATTTTAAAAAACATTGTGAAGGTATAAAGTATGTTTGAACTGGACAGAGATGATGATGTGGCATGTGACTGAAAATATATATTTTTTAATAGATGATTCAGCCGCAGAGAGTTTTAATGGCAATGAGACCGTGGGACACAGTTCCAATGCTTCAGGGGGAACACACTGCAGGGAGATGGCAGAAACCAACAGTAATGGCAAAACAAATCTGGAGCAGGATGAGCAGCCTCTGAACCTGAGTGACAGTCCCCTCTCTGCTCAGCTGACTTCAGAATACAGACTAGATGATCACAGCAGTAATGGAAAGAACAAATACAAGACTCTCCTAATTTCTGATCTCAAGATGGAACGGGAGTCAAGAGAAAATGGAAGCAAGGTAAGATGCTTCCACATGCTCCAGATATGAAGTGTGTAGCTTAGAAAAGGAAAAGATTTGTGAGGCCAAACCAAAGGTTATTCCCAGCTAAGCAATTAATGCAATGTGTCTAATGTTTGTCACATCATTACTCAAATGCTATATATAGATTTGTATGCTCTGTTACACATATATGACATACGTATATTAAGTGTATGTGGATATACGTGGGTGAATACATATATATAGGCATATATATTGTGCTGACACACTGACAAAAACCAGTACAGTTCTCCATCAGGCATGAATTGCATCAGTCCATTTATTGAGAACTGTCTACATTACCCATTTGAAAAATATAGATATTAAAATATGTATATAATGTGATGCATATATATGTATATATACTGATATACATATATCTATGTATATTTAAAGATGACCATCTCATTTCATGTATTATGTATCTGTAGAATGAATCCGTATGAATGTTAAGTGCATATGCCCAAGCAAATTACTACATGTGAATGATCATCATCTGAAAGGAAAGGATTTGATTCCTTCACGATTGTTTGTGTTATACCTGCACCTAACTTGAATTAAAACTGACAAGTTTGCTTTAAGAAGCTGTAATCCCCTGAGGGCTTTTCTCTGTAGTTTCCATTATGTGGGTAAGGAGAAGAGAAGGTGGTTACAGTGTAGATAAAGACAGATCCTAGAGATTAGATAGAAAGGTGTTTGTCATGAGGGCATACTGTAAGGAGGGTGAAGAAATGGCCTGTATCATAGAATTTATTCATTGATCTTATTGGTGACAACTTCCTGGTTTTTATCTGACAATTTCCAACTGGATTACCGCTTTTACAGCAGCAATAAGAGAATGTTAGTACCGGACCCAACTACTATTAATGCTAAACACTAAGTAACACATTACAAAATAACCTGACAACATAGATATACTTTGAATGACCACATCTTTTGCAGGGCTTTGAAGTAGGAGTGATATGGAAAATCGCTTTTTCTAGGTATATCCAGAAAGGGATTGCACATGATTGATATCTAGAGAACAATATTTATTTCTGCTAACGTTTCAACTCCTGTCTTCATAACCTGCGGAGTAAAAATAAAAACGTGAACTGTTTTTTTTAACTGCAGTGTCTGGTTTTGGTGTGTAGAAGAAAGGGAAACCAAATGGGAGATTGTTAGCCTTTCTCTTTCTTGGCCATTCCAGTTTAGCAAATCGTGTATCCCAAAACCTTCTCTATAAAATCTTTATGAAAACCTGTTTATCTGCATGGAATATTTTTGTTTCCACAAATTTTCGCTATATTGAAAATATTCTAAATAGCTTGTCTCAGAGCGTGTATACACTCCAGAGCTGGATTTACTCAGTACTTCATTGCACAGAGTCCCAAATTGGCTCATATGAATGGTATCTTCATTTGCTCCAGGGCACATTGTTCCAATGAACCTTTTATAAGCCAGTCACCCAAATTTTGATAGACACACAGGCTTTTTTGCCTGAGGTACATTGCAGCTTCTGCCATTACTCTTGCAAATACACAAATAAGCTTGGTGAAGAAAGGGAGGAGTCTTAATGTGGAACTCATTTATAGCTAAGACAAGAGCATAGCCTAATGCTACATCTCCAATTTTCATCAGTTCCAACTCAGATGAAAAAAAAAAGTATAAAAAAGTGTTAAAAATCTGTTTGTAATGAATTGAGATGACAATCAAAGCCATCTCATTCTTTGTTATTCTACAGACTTTAAGAGGCCTGAATCATCCCCCACATTGATATGTTCTTTCATCACTCACTGTCATCCTACCCACTCTATACTGCCAACAATATGCAGATTTGTCTCCCCTTTTTGTCCTAGTGAAACTCCTGCTGATGTTTACAGTTCATTCATTTAAGTATATGATTTATTAGGTATACAGTAAAGATTATTAAATATGGAGTGAAGACTTCAGGAAGAACACAGTCCTGGGATAAACAAAAATTTGTCAGAGATTTGTAAGCTGACTGTAGAGTAAAAGAATGTTTTTGTGGCCAATTTAATATTTAACAGAGAAATTCTACTCTTGTTTTTAGAAGGAACAAAAACCATCAATGTATTAGAATAGAATGGGACTGTACAGCATCTCAGCATTTCGTACGCATACATATACACTCATATAAGTATTACTGCTGGTTTACCTTAAGTGGTATCTTACATGCTAAAGAGTCAGAGAGTGTTTTAGAAGCCCTAGACCTGATCAAGGAGGTCCTTTTGCCTTCCCGTGGTGATTCAGGTCACTCGGCCCCTCCAGAAGAGTGTTCTGGCCATTACTTAGCTGATTAATTTTGAACAATGCAGAAGATCAAACTCCTAGTCATGTGCAGTACCCACTGGATGCACTTGGGCAAGGGTATTCCAAGGAACTAGCTGGAAATCTAATTCTCTGCCAAAAAGAAAACGAAATAAAGAACAAGTAAGGTTAACAAGGTATTATAGTTTACTAGGAGCCAGCTCTGACATCCTTTTCACCCAGAATACACCAAGTATGTGGGTTGTCATTTGAAGTCATCTAGGAATTCTCCCAGCGCTCTCACAGCATCTAACCTCCAGCCATTCACAGTTACACAGTTATGAGACATGATTAGACCTGAATAATGGCATCATTGGTAGTGATAGGTAAGCAAATGTGTTTAGCGTAATCTCTAATCATGTTTTCATGACAAAATCATCTGCAGTGTTCACCAAATATCAAATTGATAAGCCACTTCTTATAAATTGGTATTCTTATGGTATCTTTATGTGGCAAAGAATTGAGAAAAGATATGTGAAGAGTTAGGGAGGAAAATACCTGGTTTCTAAATGAAGGGAAACATATTTTAATTATTGGGCTAGCGTTGCAGGAAGTAATACATTATGCTTCCACCAGCTTCTACAATGGCCCATTCAGCCTGCAGAAGATGTTACTTGCTTGTGATGGCCAGGACTCTGTGAAACCCACAGGCAAAGGGCTGGAGCTGAAAAGATCTGTTGGCTGACATGTTCCCTGCCTGCTCTGAGTCTCCTTTTTGATACTACATCATATATGCTTAATTAAATTTGAAGCCACAGTTTCTCTAGATAACTTGCATCCATTCCGACCTGTCGCTAAGTTTAAAGATAACACCAGAGCTCAATATAGCTGCAAAAAGCCAAAAGATTACTTTTTTTGGTTGAAAATTATCAACACATCATACCTCCTCCACCAAATCACAGATTTTTTTAAGGGAGTTTATGTTTTCCAGAAACAAGCAGTTTTGTTAAACTACATTATAGGTATTCGCCTGTACAACACTGTTTATAAAAACGATACTTCCTTCACATGTGTAGTGGTGGGCTCCACCATTTGACAATACAGTTATGATTGATAATTTTGTATGTGCTGCAGAAATATGATCAGAAGAAGCAGTTGGGATAAAACTGGTAGTTTTTCCATCATATTTTCTTTGTAAATCTGGGAGCTAATAGGCAAATGTTTTTTTAAAATGGCTATTTCTTTGTGGAAGTTCAATTTTTAGAATATTCATCTTGTCAATACCTATTTGAAGCAATTATATGCTTATGCTATACGGAAAGTTTGCTAGATAGTGGCCTCATTCTGTGAAAGAGTTTTGGATGTCAAAACAGGGATACTTAACATTTTCCTAAAATCAGGCCTCTCTAATGTACACAGAGGAAGTAATTAGTGATTTGTAAGAAATGTAGTTTTTTGGGAATATTAAATCAAGTTTTCTTGTCTGACAAGACTCTGATGGATAACTGGAAATTAGATAACCCTGTGAACAAATTTTAATTCAACTTTTCAAACTACTGGGTATGTTTTTTAAAGAATGCTGTGTTCAGTTACTTCAGAATATGAATTTTAAAACTAATGTTGATTACACTCTTTAAACAAGAATCACGTTTCAGAGGGCAGTGTAACTTTACTCTTTGAATCCTCAGTTTCAGACAGTGAGTATGTATGGTAACCTCTTCGTTGTGTAAAAAGACCACATGCTGAGTGCAGTGGAGGGAGTTGCCAAATTTTAACATAACCTTAAAATTTGGTCAAAAATGTTTTACTATTCACTGAAAAAATGTTATGCAAGGAAGAAATGGATTTTCATAGTCTTAAATATATATATGTAAGTATGTATGTATATATATACTTTATATATGTTTTTGTTAAGCTGATATTAGGGAACTGTTCCTCCAGTACAACTCAGATGTTCACAGCAGTAGAACTTTCTACAACCATACAGTGCTAAACTGAAGTCAGTGAAATTTTGTTTAGCTGCAAAAATATATACACAAATTTACATTAACAAGGCTGGGTCTTTGTACTACAAAAGACTTATAGTCATATGTAAATGCTTTGCAAATGCAGTTCTATGAATTCAAATAGTTAAATGCACATATAAATTATTTTAGATCATTATATACTTATGTGTGAGACTGTTGTGTTTCTCTATGACCATGATGAAGTCTTTGAAGCACTGAGATTTTTGATTTCTGATTCTTGTGTTATTGATTTTCCCTAGACCATATATTTTATTTTGAAATCTCGTTATATAGCTTTATCTCTTCCACATCATTTATTTAATGAAATATAGGAAGCCCACTCTTTTTAAGTGATTTTGTCTCCTCTACATTTGAATAAAAAGGTTATTGTGATACAGTATGGGAAAACAGGTTTTTGAGCTAACCAACCACACATATTGTGCCACGTGCTTTATCTGGATTAATAAATAGTTCATTATGTCTGTATTGCAAAGGACATTCCTAATATGCAAACCCTCTCTTTGGGATTTCCCAGATAGAAACATGTGGAGTTTGGTCATGAAAGCCTAGGAGATGCATTAAAGTGGAGTAACAAGGAGGACACACACCATGTGTCCATTTTGTCCAGATACCTACTAATTGGGGACAGTTGGTTAATGTCTTCTTTCTTCTACCAGACAAAATTTCTGATAGAAAAATTGGACACTTCCAGGCCCTCTGGAT